GCAGTATTCAATGTGCTTTACATGCACTACCCATTAATTCTGTACAGCCACCTTGTAAGGTAGGTACCATTATTTTTTATGTATTTTTATTATTAAAAATAATACCATCAACCAACTCACACCAGATAGGCACCGTTATTATTGCCTATTTACAGTTATGGAAGAGGGGCTTAGAGAAGTTAAGTGACCTTCATGAGATCACATAGCCGGTGGGGCTGAAAGGCAGTATGGTTCCAGAGTCCATGCTGTAGATGCTGTGCATAGTTGACTTTGCTGTCAGAGGAGCCGAAGCTCAGAGAGGTTAAGTAATTGCCTAAGGTCGTGCATTCAAGTGGCAGATATTGGAGCCAAACCCAAGCCTGCCCGACTCCAGGTCTATGAGCTCCTTACTCTGACCTACCTTTCCATCTAGCAGGAGCTGGCAAATTTTTTTGTGTAAAGACCAGATTGAAATATTTTAGGTGGCCGGGTGCGGTGGCTCATGCCTGTAATCCCAGCACTTTGGGAGGCTGAGGCAGGCTGATCTCAAGGTCAAGAGATGGAGACCATCCTGGCCAACATGGTGAAACCCTGTCTCTACTGAAAATACAAAAATTAGCTGGGTGTGGTGGTGTGTACCTGTAATCCCAGCTACTCAGGAGGCCGAGGCAGGAGAATCGCTTGAACCCAGGAGGCGGAGGTTGCAGTGAGCCGAGATCCCGCCATTGCACTCCAGCATGGGTAACAGAGTGAAACTCTGTCTCAAAAAAAAAAAAAAAAAAAAAAATCACTGATTTAAAAATGATTTCTTTTTGTGATTTTGAGAGAAAAATTTAGTGACTATTTGTAGCAATTAGTAACACTGTAGGGGGAATTATTAAGATAGGGTTCAGAATAGTGAAATAAACTCTTGCAAGTAAAACTTAAAATACTACTTGAGAAGATATTCACTGCAAAGGTGGTAACCTTATTTTTAAAAATGCTTTTTATTGAAAGTTTAATCTACATACAGAAAAGTGAACATATCGTGTGTATACAGCTTGGTGGATTTTCACAGGCTGCACACACTTGTGGAATCAGCATCCAGATCTGGAAGCAACAGATGTCCTTTAAAACATCAACAACTGGGCCAGACGTGGTGGCTCACACCTGTAATTCCAGCACTTTGGGAGGCTGAGGCGGGTGGATCACTTGAGATCGGAGTTCGAGACCAACCTGACCAACATGGAGAAATCCTGTCTTTACGAAAAATACAAAATTAGCCAGGTGTGGTGGTGTATGCCTGTAGTCCCAGCTACTCGAGAGGCTGAGGCAGGAGAATCGCTTGAACCTAGGAGGCAGAGGTTGTGGTGAGCCAAGATCACGCCATTGCACTCCAGCCTGGGCAACAAGAGCAAAAATACATCTCAAAAAAAGAAAAGGAACTTACCTATATCTTACATACATAAAGTTATATCTCTGCATATACACATATATACATATATATAGCTAATTACAGTGAAATATGGAACTAATCCAAAGACAATAAGGAATAGCCGTGCAGTTAGGAATTGTTGAAACAGTGGAAATCTGTTTAGCTGAAATCCAGCAAGTGTGTAGACTATGTTGAAATTTTGAAAAGTTTAAATCTGAAAAATACTGGCTGGGTGCGGTGGCTCACGCCTGTAATCCCAGCACTTTGGGAGTCCGAGGTGGGTGGATCACGAGGTCAAGAGATCGAAATCTGAAAAATATTCAGAAGATATATACAAGTGTCAATTTGTTAAATAGTGAAAACAGGTAATAATTTGGAGTGATAAAGTTTAGAGATGGTTACACTTTTTTTTCCAAAGTTGCTTAAGATTTTTTGAATTGCTTTGCTTTCTCCACAAGAACAAAGCACTCAGCCCCACTTTCCAGTTGGGGAGCCCCCCCATGGGTTCACCCATCCTGAGCAGGGCCGGCTTTTGCTGGGATGTCCCTGCTAGGCTGTGAAAGGGCCATTGAAGGTGCTGGCTAGAGATGGGTTGCTGAGGAGCGTGGTGACTTCCTGGCCATCTAATTGTGTTAGATTCATGGTGGAATCAATTTCCTTAACGAATGAATTGGCTACAAGCACAGGTCCTTTGTGCAAAGCTCCTTGAGGAGGATGACATTTAGATGTATTCTCTGTAACTGATAGACCATCCCCGACCAGTGATGGACTCATATTTTTTTACAAAAGACAGCTGAGGATTCCATCAGCATTTTGAAGAAAGCTACCTCCATCAAAACCCAGCTAATTCCAAACCTGCAATAATAATAGTTAATAATAGTCATAATTTCACTTTAGCTTTATATTATGCTGTATTGTTCCAAAACCAACAAGAGAGCATTTCCAAATGTACAAAGCATTGTAAAAGTACAAATAGAAATGATTGCTGTGTTGTTATCATTTCCACCTGACCCTTATAAGCTCCCAGTGAAGAAGGCAGGGCAGATCTGATTCCATTTTACAGATGAGAAGACCAGCTGTTTCAGCAGAGTGGTGGTCTCCATGTCAAACGTACATAGAGGTATTTGGGGAGCACAGCAGGGACCATCTGATCTGGCAGAAGCAGGGGAGTGCTGGGGGTCAAGGAAGGCTTTCCAGAAGGGGTGGGAGCTGGGGTGTGAAGGAAGAGCAGATCTTTCCAGCAAATAGGGTGGCACGGTGCAAGCCAAGGAAGGGTGTCATGTTGGAGAATGGGTGTCTGTTAGTACGGCCGTTATTGAGGCCAAAAGGAAACCAGAATTTCCTACTGGACAGCCCTCAGTTCTCCGGAGGAGGAAATGGGTTAGGATGTGTTTCTCTTGGTCTCTTTGCCAGAGTGGGGAGGAGGGCCCAACCCTGCTGCTTTTGCAACGTGAAGCCTCCCTTCCCCCCCGTCTCTGTGCATGTGAACCATGGAGGCCTGTTGAGGGCCCTTTTTCTGTGAAAATGGTAGAAAGAAGAAAAAGGGCAAGAACATCAAGTTTTGGAGACCCTGGAGGCTCTGGAAGTGAAGGCTCATTAAGTCCGTCTGATTCAAGCCCTGAGAAGCACGGCCTAGAGGGCCACTCCGTGTCACCACCCACGACGCTGTATGAAGACGCTCTCGTAACTCTTCCGTATGAAGAGACATACTTGGGCCACTCTTGCCAGTCAGCCACTTGGGAAATACCACAGAAGACTCACTTTTTTCACTCAGAAGCCCTTTTAGAGAGAATTTCTTTTGGAGAAATTCCACTGAAATCAAGCCCATCGGGCTCACATGCTGATGATGTAACCTGTGGCGGCTTGCTCCTGGACACGTGACCCACTCTGAAGATATCTGTCATGTCCATATAGGGTATCGCTCTGCCTCAGAACGCAGCTCCTCCCCTACCCCTCTTCCCCCAGCTCCATATTTAGGCATCTGCCGAGGCTCCTCCTGTCCTCAAGGCTTATCATCCATCTTTACTGCTGCACCATAATGCAGTGGTTTATGTTTTTGTATTCACTGTGGCAGATAATAAAGGTTCCTCTTTTGGCTTCAGTTTTAATAAGACTATCAAGAACTACTTTACAGTTTGGGAAACTGAGGCCCCGAGAGCTAACTTGATGGACCATTTGGGGTCAGAACTGGTTGGCACAGGAGACTCACTTGATTGAACGGAGACCTTTTCTCCTTACCGACTTTCTAGGTAGCAAAGCTCAGACGGGAGTCCCTCTCTTTCTCTCTTTTTGTAGCCATGTCTGGGTGTGAAACACACAGAACACCCTTTGCTGGAGAAACCTCTTTGGGCTACTTTAAATTCCCCACTTAGAGTTAATAACTGTTTATCATTATATTTAGTAATTGTTATTTGATGATGTTATTAATAGGGATGACTTACTGCGTGTTTACTATGTACATATCGTATGTTTATATTATGCACCTGCTAATAGGGATGACTTACTGCGTGTTTACTTTGTACATATTGTATGTTTATATTATGCACCTGCTAAGAATTTTGCACTCTAGGCACACATAACACTCTCAACAACCTGTGATCCTGTGATGCAGATATCATATTATTACATTGACTTTGCAGAGAAAGAAACTGAGGCTTAGGGAGGTTATGAAAATCTTCCAAGTTTGTCACATAGGTAGTCAATTGGGTAGCTCGGATTCAATGCCAGGTTTACCTGACTTTAAAGCCCATGACCTTAACAATTATGCCTTATTAATTTTTTTTTGCAGATATTTACTCAGGAAATTTGGCTTTCACTCAGTCAGTTTATTAGAAAGTTTATTTAAACAACTGAAAGGGCTGGTGTGGTGACTCATGCCTGTAATTCCAACACTTTGGGAGGCTGAGGCGAGAGGGTCACTTGGGCCCAGGAGTTCGATACCAGCCTCAGCAACATAGTGAGACCTTGTCACTACACAAACTAAACAAAATTAGCTGATCATGGTGGTGAGTGCTCGTAATCCTAGCTACTTGGGCGGCTGAAGTGGGATGATCGGTCACTTGAGCCTGGGAGGTGGAGGCTGCAGTGGGCATGGGAGACAGAGCAAGACTGTCTCAAAAAATAAAGGTGGCCAGTGGCAGGGTGCGGTGGCTCATGCCTCTAATCCCAGCACTTTAGGAGGCCAAGGCAGGTGGATCACGTGAGGTCAGGAGCTCAAGACCAGTGTGGGCAACATGGTGAAACTCCGTTTCTACCAAAAATACAAAAATTAGCCGGTGTGATGGTGCATGCCTGTAGTCCCAGCTACTCAGGAGGCCGAGGCATGAGAATCGCTTGAACCCAGGAGGTGGAGGTTGCAGTGAGCTGAGATCATGCCACTGAACTCCAACCTGAGCAACAGAGCGAAACTCCGTTTCAAAAAAGTAAAATAAAATAAAATAAATAAATAATAAATAAAGGACTGACGCATGTACATTTTTCCTAATTCTGGCCCTGCTACATTGGGATCAAATAAAACTTAAGGCCAGGCATGGTGGCTCATGCCTATAATCCCAGCACTTTGGGAAACTGAAGTGGGAGAATCGCCTGAGCGCAGGAGTTCAAGACCAGCCTGAGCAATATAGTGAGACCCCCTCCATCTCTATTTATAAAAAATAAAATTATTCAATTTAATAAAAAAAAAACTTAAAAATGTCTTAAGAGGTCTTGGCTCTGGACTAAGTCCCACATGCATGTATTCGAGATGCCTCTTGGTCTAAGGATCTAAAATCTAACTAAAGCCTATGGAGCCCTCAAGGAGTCCTTCCTCAAAGGTCTGGTATCAGATGGGGTCCAGGACCATCGTGCGTGACAGTGACCTGGTGTGAGTCTGCAGAAAGAGTCCGGGTGAACATTTGGCAAAGCAGTCCCTCCGCTATGGATGTTCAGTATTTGGTATTTCAGATAGTAGTGAAATGGATGACTTGATGGCTTCCTATAATTCCCAGATGCCAGGTTTTGTGCTAAGTCAGACTCTTCACATTCTGAATCGATGATCACATGAGAAAGACCTTTTATTATTTTCATTTTTATGAGAAAGCTAAGGTTCAAAGAGGTTAAGTAATTTGGCCAAGGTCACCTGGTTTACATGTGTTTAAAAACATGTATATGTGAACATCATGCGAATTATTTATTTGGCTAACTCATTTGCAAAGCCTATTAGGTATAACTAAACAACAGAGATGGTGGGTTGACAAGGATAAAAATGTCTTGGAGGCTGGGTGCAAGTGGCTCACACCTGTAATCCCAACAGTTTGGGAGGCTGAGGCAGGAGGATCCCTGAGGCCAGGAGTTCATGACCAGCTGCGGCATACACATGCAGTCCAGCTGCTCAGGAGGCTGTGGTGGGAGGATCACTTGAGCCCCAGAGGTCCAGCCTCAGTGAGCTGTGATGACACCTCTGCACTCCAGCCTGGACGACAGAGTGAGATCCTGTCTCAGAAGAATAAAAAAAGAAAGAGAGAAAGAAAAACAATGTTTTGGAAAGGAATGCCAGGGTTTAGAGAAGTGACTTAAAAATTATGTCTTAGATCAGACTTGTAGGTTTGCTTTGTATTGCCTTGAGTGACACGTTAGGAGGATCGCCAAGGGGAGAGGTTATAAGCCCAGATTGTGGTAATAACTTTTACTCTGAATTTTGGTCTGAAAGACTTTTCTTCGTCTGGAGCTGGGCTGGCCTCGTGACATCGTGCGGCAGCAGACACGATGGTGGAGCTCATTGCCTGGAGCTTTCCCTCCGCATTGAATGATAATTTTTTTGGCCTTTTCATGAAATTCAGATTCTGTCCCACTTAGGCAGTCCCGTTTAAGTGGCAGGCACTGAATATGGTTGCTTTCAAGCAAGATGTTTTGTTTAACCAGGGGCGTAGCGGAGTTCTGGATACACAGATGGCCATCCAAAAATGTTAAAAGAAAGAAATAAAGTAATCCTCACAGCATCTCTGAGAAGTGGTGCTTAAATTTATCACAATCTTGCAGATGTGTAAGCTGAGGCGTAGAGTTCAAGCAATGCACTCAAAGCCATGTGTAAGCGATGGTGCCTGATTCCAGATGCAGAGAACCCCAAGGCCAGTCTGCTGCATCTCTTACCAGTTTTTGGAAAAACCACAACAAACTTTTAAAGTTCTAGTAATTTCTTTTCCCCTCCCACAACACGTATTCCCATAAACCAAGGACCATGTGACTAGTCAGTAAACAAAAGGAAATGCATCTAGCAACTGTCGCTCCTAACATTCTTGTTTCTTGCAGTTTCCAAGGTGGTTAGATCCATCAGACGCTAAAGCCGTGGAGAACACTCTCAGGACCCTTTGCCAATTCTTGAAGCAGAAGCCGACAGACAGCTGTTTGGAAACGTTTCCTTCACACACCAGGTTGCTACTGAGATCTTTTTCATGTTGCAATCAGAGCAGTTGCTTGTTTTTTTTTGTTGTTGTTGTTGTTTTTTAATCACTTGAGTGCTTTTAGAGATAAAGTCAGCTTCTGCTTCTTGACCGGGAGGCATTGCGGGTATGTGTGTTGGGGAAAGACAGATCTAAGCTCTCCCCACTGAGGGGAAGAGTGGATTGCACAAGTGGGGTTGGATGGCTACATTGAGATTGCCCCACCTTTAATCAGTTTGCCAGTGGGGAAGCCCCCTGTCTACAAAAAAGGCAAGAAAGAAAGACTTCATTCCCCCACTCACCTTCTCTTTCTTTTCCAGCTGAAGACTCGGCTTTGGAGGTTTTCAAAGCAGACGGCGCGTCTCGCTTGGACGGGCAGGGAGAAGTAACATTCTGCAGATCACTGTCAGAGGTCCTGAGGACGCAGACCTACCTGGCTTGCATTCCCCTTGCTGAATGGCATGTGCTGCCGCCGCCCACTGAGAGCTCCTTTGGGATTTTGACTTGTGAGTAGGACACGAGGCTGGGAAGATGCTGAGTTCCATCAAGTGTGTGTTGGTGGGCGACTCTGCTGTGGGGAAAACCTCTCTGTTGGTGCGCTTCACCTCCGAGACCTTCCCAGAGGCCTACAAACCCACAGTGTATGAGAACACAGGGGTGGACGTCTTCATGGATGGTATCCAGATCAGCCTGGGCCTCTGGGACACAGCGGGCAATGACGCCTTCAGAAGCATCCGACCCCTGTCCTACCAGCAGGCAGACGTGGTGCTGATGTGCTACTCTGTGGCCAACCATAACTCGTTCCTGAACTTGAAGAACAAGTGGATTGGTGAAATCAGGAGCAACTTGCCCTGTACCCCTGTGCTGGTGGTGGCCACCCAGACTGACCAGCGGGAGATGGGGCCCCACAGGGCCTCCTGCATCAATGCCATAGACGGAAAGAGACTGGCCCAGGACGTCAGAGCCAAGGGCTACCTGGAGTGCTCAGCCCTTAGCAACCGGGGGGTGCAGCAGGTGTTTGAGTGTGCTGTCCGAACTGCCGTCAACCAGGCCAGAAGGCGAAACAGAAGGAGACTCTTCTCCATCAATGAGTGCAAGATCTTCTAAACGCCAAGAGACTTCACACAACACTTACGTATGCGCCCCAGAGACTAATGGGGAGCGGGGGAAGCCAGGAAAACTTAGTGTTTTCTCTGGGTACACCCCAAGCAGCGTCTCCTTTTGGATACAGTTATTGACAAGACTTGGCCACTGGATGTTTTCACTAACCATACTCTACAAGTGAACTCCTTGCCTGGGCCAGTTCGAAAATCCCTTGGGAAGCTGCAATGAATATTCCATCTTTGATTAAAAAAGTGACATAGTCTGCACAATTTTGGACAACGAAGTGAGTTTTTCAAAGAATTCCATATTTAAAGACACATTTTATTTAATAACACAATGTATTGCTTTTGTATATAATTAGTTTTCACACTTGGAAAATCTTTTCCTACATCCTCGAAAACATAAACTGCTCTGTGAATGAAATAACCATACGAAGCTCTTTATACGTTTGTAGTGTTATTATTTTCACCTCAAGTAGAAAGTCTGTTGAAACCACTTGGCTGCTGGATTTAAATGGGTAATCAAATTTAAAAACGACCATAAATGAATCTTTGCAATTTATCTTCTACCTACCTATTATTCAGAGTTGGATATAAAATAACAGTTCCATAAAATATCCTAATACTGCCTAATCATTTTAAAGTTATCACTATATTTTTCTGAAATGATAAAACATCATTTATTTATGATAGTGTCTCACTCAATTCCAATTAAACATTCCCCTCTCATTCACCAAGACTGACTCGAACTCCATCTTTCAGTAGAGAATCAGACTGCTCCAAGAAACAGCAGCAGAACTTGAAACAGAACAAGCGGGAGAACCTCACTTTCACTTCTGTAGGGTCGCTCCCAGGCGATTACAGTCTTCTGAAAGGCAGTGGGGTCAAAGTTCCATTCATCTGACAAATTTGTTATATTTAAGCTCTAAACTGAGCTGTTGTGGCAACATAATTTATGAATTACAGGATCTAGTTAGGATTATTGGGAAGGTGTCTACATATATATGTGTATGTAAGGGGAAAAAGGTAGATTTTGCAGACTTTAAAAGAGAAAAATCAAATGCCAAGCATGGGAAGAGGAAAGCACCATGGCAGTTGCTCAGATAACAGAAAATGATCAGGGGAAATACTGAGTAAATAGACACACACATACCGTCACACAACCTCTCTCACACACACATCTCAAACCCCATTCTCTCTAATAGTTTAAAGGCAATGGTGTTGCTCATCTGTTAAAGTTGAGAATACAGGACTACCTAACTTAAGGTAGAAGTTGCAAAGCCTGGGCCAGGCACAGTGGCTCACGCCTGTAATCCCAGCACTTTGGGAGGCTGAAGCAGGCAGATCACAAGGTCAGGAGTTTGAGACCAGCCTTGCCAATGTGGTGAAAACACATCTCTACTAAAAATACAAAAATTAGCTGTAGTTCCAGCTACTCGGGAGGCCAAGGCAGAAGAATTGCTTGAACCCAAGAGGCGGAGGTTGCATTGAGCCAGGATTGGGCGAAAGAGCAAGACTCCTTCTCAAAAAGAAATGGTAAAGGCTGGCACCTAGATAGATCAATTAGTGCCCCAATCAAAACTTAGAAACACTCAGAACCACCTTTAGGAAGGTACATCATTGTTTTGGGGTAACAATGGCTACTACACACAACAGGTAAGGCGGCTGGCATCAATGAATTTGATTAGAATTATGTTGACATAGCCAAGCTACTTTTTCTGTTTCCTTGTGTGGTCAATTCCTTATGCCTATAATCAATATCAAAAACCAAATTTGTGCTCATTCACACATTGCCTTCTCCTTCTCTCTCTCCAGTAAAAGGCCTGGGACTGGGGTTTTGATCTCTGGTGGGAGGGTTGCCTTGGTTCCCTGGGGCTGACACAGCTGCCTTGACCCAGTCATCTCAGCTCCCCAGGAGGGGCTTGTCCTCACCTGAGTCACCCGCCTCCCTTGACCCGAGAGCCCCTGTCTCTAGTTCTCATCTCAGGGTGGGGGGCTTGAAAGATGACTGGGCAGGGAAGGGGAAGGGATCTCATATCCTCTGATATCCCTGGGATCCTCTTCTTCACCTTCAGCACACAGATATGCAGATGTTCAGGGCCAGCCTTTGCATGAGTGGTATTTAACATGTCAGTTCACTGCAGTGGGCTGTGCCCCAGGCTTTTCTTTCTCTCTTGTTGAAGAGAGATGGGGGTGGGTATCTGAAAGCGGGAAGGGCTCTGGTACATGATCCTAAGTGAGGGAAGAGGAGGTGATTCCACTGTGGCAGTAGAGCATGAAGGGAAGGCTTTTTTCTGTCACCTGGGCAAGGACACGAAGGTGAGACATACACAAGTTGGTGGGAGCCAAGCTTAGCAGCTCCCTCTGGGAACCCTCACACCTGAGACCAGGAATCTATGTGTAAACCCTTCCCAGTGATGGAGCGTGGCAGAAATGGAGCCAATAAGTGTCTGTCTTCCTGCTGGACCGCTGCTCTGGAAGGTAGTACTGCCTCCTGGTCTCCTCACTGTCCCCAGGGCTCAGCACAGGGAAGGCAATGGAGCTAACGTTGTGTTGAACTGAGTTAGAGGAAAGGCATTGGGTTTCTGTGCTGCTCAGTGGTTATAAAAGGAAGCAGACCCTCACCCGCCTTGCAGGGGTAAGAAGAAAAATAGGCCATCTTGGTAGAATCCACGTGGTGTGTGTTTTACATGAGCACATTCTTACTTTCGCCTGCCTAGATGCAGATATGGGTTTTTTGTTTTTTTGTTTATTTTTTAGACAGGGTCTTACTCTGTCGCCAGGTGCCAGGCTGGAGTGCAGTGGCGCAATCTCAGCTCACTGCAATCTCTGCCTGCTGGGTTCAAGCAATTCTCCTGCCTCAGCCTCCCGAATAGCTGGGACCACAGGCGCGTGCCACAACTCCCAGCTAATTTTTTTGTATTTTTTTTTTTTTTTTAGTAGAGACAGGGTTTCATCATGTTGGCCAGGATGGTCTCCATCTCTTGACCTCGTGATCCACCCGCCTCGGCCTCCCAAAGTGCTGGAATTACAGCATGAGCCACCACACTCCGCCTGCAGATATGGGTTTCTTTTACTTCAAGAGTTGTGGTACCTTTTTGTAGACTATGGCTTATTGATTCTTAACTATTCCAAGTTAATAGTTAATAGCTATCAAGCAATATTAAATATGTTCTTGATGACATTAAAGAGTTAATTTGCATGGGGGGGTAATCCATCCTTGTCTCCATCAGTCTGGGCTGCTACAGTGGAAAACCATAGACCAGGGGGGCTTCAACAACAGAAATATATTTCTCACAGTTCCAGAGGCTGGGAAGTCCAAGACCAGGCACAGCATGGTTGGGTTCTGGGGAGACCCCACTGCCTGGTTTGCAATGGCCGCCTTCTTGCTGTGTTCTCACATGGTAGAGCAAGAGATCATCTTTCTGGGTTTTCTTCTTCTAAGGACACTAATCCCATTCAACCCTCATGACCTAATACCTCCCAAAGTCCTCACCCTCTACCATCACACTGGGGATTAGGCCTCAACATTTTGAGACTTGTGGGGACACAAACATTCCATCCATAGCAATTCTATTCTGTCTTACTTTACACCCACTAGTTAACTGGGCAGCAGAATCCGGGGCAGTGAGTGACAAGATAGCTGGAAGCATCCTGATAGCTAAAGTTCTTTCAGTGCTTCAGACGTGCTGTGCTGGCCACCTTGTTAAGCATTCTTTCACCATGTGTGTGTAGGCCCTCATTACACTGAGTCCCATCTTACATGAGGAAACGGAGGCTCACCATGTTATGTGACAAGGCCAAGCCCATGCAGCCAGTGAGTGGCTGCCCCGGGAGTCTCAAGCGGGTCTGTGTGGCTCCAAAGCTCTGCTCAGAACCGTCCTGCCCCACTTCCTCCCAGAGCAGCTTGACTGAATGGCCTTGCCACATCCGACCTCGTGCAGCTTGCAGCCCCACCCTCATCAGTCAAGTAGCCTGTATTTTTAAAAATATATGTTTAAATAAAGTATTCCAAGTCTGATCTTTGTCCTCCCTTTTTATTTCCGGCAGTGAGAATAGGACCCATCTACGTCACGCAGCACCATCATTTGCAAAGGTCTTTATTCCAACCCTTGGTATTTAAAGCATAATTCCAAAGGCTGATTGCATGTAAATTGGCAGAGATGGAATTTAATGTTATAAAAAGCTTGAGAAATATTCTCTTTTACTTTTTTTAATTAAAATTTTATGGAGATAGGGCTTTGCTCCGTCACCCACAATGGAGTGTAGTGGTGTGATCATGGCTCACTGCAGTCTCCACTTCCAGAGCTCCAGCGATCCTCCCACCTCAACCTCCCAAGTAGCTGGGACTACAGATGCACGCCACCACTCTTGGCTAATTTTGAAATTTGTTGTAGAGATGGAGTCTTGCTATGTTGTCCAGACTGGTTTTGAACTCCTGGGCTCAAGGGATCCTCCTATCTTGGCCTCCTGGAGTGCTGAGATTATAGGTGTGAGCCACTGTGCCCAGCCAATATTCTCTTTCTCTTGTTTTTTTTTTCGTTTCTTTTTTTTGAGGTGGAATTTTGCTTTTGTTGCCCAGGCTGGAGTGCGATGGTGCAATCTCGGCTCACTGCAACCTCCGCCTCCTGGGTTCAAGTGATTCTCCTGCCTAAGCATCCCAAGTAGCTGAGATTACAGGCTTGTTCCACCACGCCCGGCTAATTTTGTATTTTTAGTAGAAATGGAGTTTCACCATGTTGGTCAGGCTGGTCTCGAACTCCTGACGGCAGGTCCACCTGCCTCGGCCTTCCAAAGTGTTGAGATTACAGGCGTGAGCCACTGCACCTGGCCAATATTCTCTTTTTCTTGTCTCACTTTTCCACCCCTCAGGTTTCAGGTATTTCCTTTGAATAAGGGAGTGACAGGGAAGAGGAAAGCCTAGTTCTTTTCTTTCAAGGATTTGGTACTTGGGGGGCCCTTCACCCAGAATGAGATGTGATGGAAGGACTTGAATTGGTGCCTCTGTAGAGTTATGATATGACAGAGGGGACCGGGCATCTGTGAATGTTCGGCCCCAGTGCTGAGAAAGCAATGCTTACAAGTTGAGTGAGATCAATACCACTCAATAGTAGGGACCTGCTCTTCCTGAGACTATATCTGCCCAGATAAAGCAAAGAAACATCATCAATGGCTAAGATCGCAAGCAGGTTTTCACAAGGAAAGATGAACTCTGAAAATTATGTGTGCTATAAGTTAATAAAGAGGTCTTGATTAAACCTAAAGTCTACATTAATTTTTTAGATTCTAAAATGTATCCTAATCTGGAACTCAATACTAATGGTAGATAGAAAGCCATAATGAGGGAGTGCAGAGACCAGGCACTTGTCATGTATTTTGGGATCAGAAAATGTGGGTTGTGATCCCACATTTGGCTTTAGTTTCCCTTTCTTAAAACAGAGATACTAATTCCTAGGCTACTCTATAAATGCTGGTATAATAATGATTGTGGGCTGGGCGTGGTGGCTCACTTTGGGAGGCTGAGGCGAGTGGATCACTTGGGATCAGGAGTTCAAGACTGGCTTGACCAACATGGTGAGATCCCGTCTTTACTAAAAATACAAAAATTAGGCAGGCGTGGTGG